GAAAGTAGCGGGAAATAAACATGTTGGTTTCAAGTTACTCGAGGTTTAACATTCAGAAATAGCTTTATATTTGGTATATTGTAAAGTGATATAGGCCAAAGAAGTAAGGTTCATGTTGTTTCTTGTTATTAATGCACTTTATTCAGTAGATAATTCTTGTATTTATACTTTTAGATTGAATACTACAACTACTATTACTACTACTAACTACTATTATTATACAATATTTGGAAATTATTTGTGGTCACTTTACATACCGGTTTCTGATTCTGGTGAACCATAAATTCGATTTCTAGCTGACCAGGGCTTAAAGGATATTCAGAAAATGACGGAGGTAATGAAGGAAGCGTTAAACAAAGCGAAAAAGAAGCGGAGATGTGCAAAATCGAGTGTACCAAGGGCAGGAAATGGCTTGGATTATTTATTGAAAAATGAGAGACCTATACCGGAAGTTGAGGAATCACTCGCTAATTTGGAAGATTTATACAAGAAATTGGTTGAAAAACACGACGAATATATTCAGTTGGTGGATGGCGATGAAGAATTTGCAACTGAGGAAGAATGGATTGAAGATTGTCAACAGAGGTTTATGCAGAACAAAGGATTATTTAAAGGTCAAGTCACAAGGTCAGTTTGAAAATGAAACAAACCCAGAAATAGGTTTAGTGCCCAATCAAACAGAGACAACTGTTAGTGACAATGGGCAGCAAGAGCATGACGGTATCCCTGGGTCTGGTCAAGGCCCATCCCACCAAGGTGAAGGTCCATCCCACCAAGGTCAACCCCCAACCCACAAAGGTCAACCCCCAACCCATGAAGGTCAACTGCCATCCCAACAAGGTCAACCCCCAACCCACCAAGGTCAAACACCATCCCACCAAGGTCAACCCCCAACCCCACCAAGGTCAAGAACACAATAGTTCAAGTGAAGGGTGCCCAAAGTATTTCAAATATTCAACCTGTTTGTGGTTTCAAAATGGAGAAGCCAAAAATGCCTCGATTTAGTGGCGACGTCAGAGAGTACAGTATTTTTCGAGATGATTTTAAGCATGCTATTGAATCTCGATACAGTAAAAGGGATGCAATGACGTACCTTTGTGCATGCTTGCAGGGAAAACCCCTAGAGCTTATCAAAGGAATTGGTACAGATTATGATGGTGCATGGCAATATTTAGACTCAATCTATGGAGACCCCAGATATGTGTCGGACCAAGTAACCCAAGATCTGTCAAAGTTCCGACCCCTGAAAGAAGGAGAAGATTCACGCTTTTGTGATCTGGTGCATTTAGTAAAGCGTAGTTTCAATACGATGAAGGGAGTGGGAAAACCCCATGATATGGATAACAATCACATGTTATCACTAATAGAACAGAAAATGTGTGTGGAAGATAGAAAGATTTGGGCTCGTGAATTGGAAAGGAATGAAAAGCCAGCAAACTTACAAGGTCTCATTGCTTGGATGGAGACGGAAATGAAGTCGAGGATGCGTGCAACTGCTCCACTGAGCTATCTGGAGGAAAACCACCAAAGTGTTGGATCTGCGACAATTCAACGCACTGGGTAGACCAATGTGAAAAATTTAAGTCCATGAGTCCAGAGGACCGTTTGAAAACAGTAAGAGAAAACCACGCTTGTTTCAGTTGTCTTAAGAAGGCCGGACGTGATCACAGAGCATCAAACTGTAGCAGAAGGAAGCAGTGTACACAGAAAATAAGTGACGTTCAATGTAAATATTATCATCATATTCTTTTGCATCCTTCAAATCCTGCAGCATCAGTGGGCGTAGCATTGGTAGAAAACAACACAGAAGCAATGCTGCCAGTTCTTACAGTGAAGATATGTGGAAAGAACAATCGACACAAACAAGGGAACATTCTACTCGACTCTGGAGCACAAATAAGATTTGCACAAGTACAGCAAAGAATTTGGATTTAAAGGGAAAGGATGTTTTGATAACTATTAGAAAAGTGGGCGGTGAAGAAGAAGTGTTGGCAACAAAAGTATATCAAGTTCCCATTACGTCATTGGAGTCTGGTGCAAAGTTCACAGTCAAAGCTGTTGGAATTCCACATATTAGCGATGACATTTCAAATATCAATATTGGTGAAATGGTAAAAGGAATTGTAATCCCTGAAGTGAAAATTTACCGAGAATGTGGCCCAATCGATATGCTTATTGGGATTGATCACGCTTATATGCATACTGGAGATTCAAAGAAAGTTGGTAACGTTGTTGTGAGACATTCACCTCTTGGTTGGATTATTTTTGGAGCTATACCGCAAACCAGTAGAGTATTTCATGTCCAGTATACAAGACCTGTAGATCTCACTGACTTTTGGACAAGCGAAGCAATGGGAGTTAGTCAATCAAATATTGAAATGCCAAAGTTGAGCAAGATCGAGCAAGAAGAAACCAAACTAATCGAGCAAGGATGCAAGCTAATTGGAAATAGATGGGAAATGGCGTACCCTTGGAAAACTGACCCCAAAACCGATTGAAAAACGATTGAAAGGGAATCTACAGCATTCAAAAGCATATCAAGAACAAATGGAGCAGATGGAAGATCTCGGGTTTTCACGAAAGCTAACTCATGTTATTATTCACGTTATTATTCAGTACAACTCATGTTATTATTCACGCAAGAACAAACAATCTCCCGATGGACTCGAGCAGCAAATGTGTAAAGAGTGTCAAAGGCTTATGCGCTCGAGTTAAAGAACGATTTCCTGATGCTAAGGTAGGGCTCTCAAGTATAATTCAAAGAAAAGACATTGACGTATCAGGAAAAATTGACGAGGTAAATACTCAACTAGAACACCTATGTAATGAACTAGGTTATACTTTTATTGAAAATTCAATCATAGATGAATCTAGTTTAAATGGCAGTAAACTGCACTTAAATACAAAAGGGTCTGCTCTCTTAGCGACGCGTTTTATTAAGTTCCTGAACCCAAATAACCAAGTACACAATCAGGCAACTGCTGCTGGTACTCATAGCCCATCGGAAAATTTTCTGAGGGATTTGTTGAACTTGGTAGCTCTAACACAGACTCCAATGCCACTACGAAGACGAACTCGTTAAATTGTTATTCTACTAGTACTAGTAATCAGTGCTGTTACAGTTACATTTTATTTGTAACTAGTTACAGTTACGTTGCCAGAAAGGTAACTAGTTACCGCTACAAGTTACAGAAGGCAAATTGTAACTAGTTACAGTTACAAAGTTACAATATATTTTTTGTAACTAAGTTACAAGTTACAAGTTACAAGTTACATTTTATATTGATTAAAATTATAATTTAGACTTACTGAGTTACTCACTGACTTTACTGTATTTTCACCCAATTATACAATACAGCAAATTTTTCAAAACTAGCTTTGTACTGAATGCAGCAACCATACAGTCAGAACAGATTTAAACAAATTCTTTATTCACAAATCACAAGATTGCAAATTTCAAAGTTTCCAACTGTCATACTTAGCATATATTTATCTTTTACATATAAAATTTGTATCTATCACATCTTCAAAGAAAGTCTTTATTACATTTCACCAGGATGCAATTTTCAAAATTTGTATCCGTCATGCTTGAGCGATGTGGCCTGAAATCAATCCACCAGCACTAAAAAGTCTTTCACAAGCAGCACTGGCTGGCAATGGTGTGTTGAGCTCAATAAAGAGTTTGCGAAGCAAGGGCCATCTTGCATAATCACAAAGTTTTTCAACAGGACTCTCAAGAAATTACTTTAAAGTACAATCACTTGATCTCCTGTTCTTAGCTTGGAAGAAATCTGTCTCATCTTGATCCTCTGAAGAGGACTGTCCAGGTTCATCAACTACTGGTTCTACCAAACCCTCTAATTTCTCATTTATGAAGGAAATGCCTAAAATTTATAAACAAATCCCACAAGTTTAAATAAATCCATGCTGTCTATAATGGGAATCCTTACTAATTCACTTCATATTGAAGTTGTATTGTATTTGTTACCTCTTTCAATAACATCACAATCAGTAGACCAGCTTTCTTTAAATTTGGGGTGAAGAATTGCAGCAGCAATGATCTTTTTGTCATTTACTATTGAATCAAATCGCTTATCAATTCCATTTAATAATTCTTGGACCAATGGTTTCATAACTGGAATATCCAACTTCTTTGAAAGCTTATCTCTCAGTATAGTTATCGTTGGTGCTAGATAACCCATGTATGCATTCGAGTGGTTTGTTTCTCCCTGTAAAATGTTAAGTGCTTGAGCCACTGGTTTCATCACTTGAGCATAATGATTAAGGAATGAAATTTCTGCAGGTTTAAATCTAAACAGAAACAAATACACTTAGCTAGCTCACTAAATTCTACTATGTCATATGCTGAGTGTTTAGTGTATATGTTCATAAATCATAATTTCAGTCAACCATCCCATGCACAAACTTACAATTATAAAGTATACTGTACTTAGGAACATCTGCCAGGGAGCAGACACTATGAATGATATTTTCTCCTTTTTCCTTGATGATTCGATTGATGCGTTGGACAGCCATAAAAATGGAATTCCATCGAGTTGCAATTGGTTTGATCAAACTTAAGCCACACTTCTCTTTAACCATTTCTGCAACTTGAACAGAGCGGAAGCTCTTATTCCAGAGGCTGGAACACTTTGCAAAGTACTCCTGCTAAGTCGTTTGTAGTTTCCATCAGCCTCAGCTTTCTCTGCATCAGATGTTGAAATAAGATTAAGAGTATGTGCTGCACAACGTTGATGTGGTGGAAGCTGGTACTCCAGACCTGCACTTGCCTGTGTTAAATCATCAAAAACATCTTCAAACTGACAATCTTTATCTGGATCATCATGATTTTCTTGTTCTTGTTCAGCAAAAACAGAGAAGGCTTTTACGAAGTTTGATCCATTGTCTGTTGTGGTTTTAGAAACTTTGGATCTTATTTCAAATTCGGTATGAATGTCTTCCAACTGGCTAGCAAGTACATCATATGTGTGTTTACCTTTGAGACGCCGACAAGCAAGAACACAACTTTTTCTCTCCAAAGTCTCGGGATCAATCCAATGTCCAGTTACACCAATGAATGAACGGCCATGAGCACTCCAGCAATCCGTAGTTGTTGCAACATGTTCAACTTTATCCATGGCTTCTTTTAAATTTTTCTTCACTAGACTGGCTTTGTCACTGATTCGCCGTACCACTGTAGCTCTGCACATTACTGATCGATTTGGTTGAAGTCCTAACACAAATTCTTTAAATGCAGGTTGTTCAACCAATGAGAACGGCATAAGAGCTTCTGTCATGAACTTGATCAGCAAATCATCCACTTGGGCTTGAGTAACCAAATTGGCATTGTATTTAACTTGAGAGGAAAGCACAGCATCCAACTTTTGTTGTTTAGGAGCAGATGGTCCTCCACTGTCTCTGGCATCACTATTACTCCTTTTCCTTGAAGGCATTTTTCTTTTAGTTTTAGCCTCATCACATAGCTTGTTGAAGGCAGATAATTTATGTTGATGAACTCTCTAAAGCGTTGAATTATGCAATAATATTATACAACAGAATGGAATATCTTTCATAATCAAGGGGTCAGATATAGGGAGTTGTGTGCCCCAACACAATAAACAAAACGTAACTGACCTGTTCACAGTATTACTCATTCTGATGGGATTTTTATCTTTGAGAGGACATATAACTGATAGCAGTCACATTCCGTCCCCAGAGTTCGATAAATACTATTAGCTCAATAATAGTAATGGGAAAATTATACAACGTTATATGTTATGTTATAAATATTTAAATAAAATAAAACTATTCATAGTTATTTGTAACTAATTAGTAATTATGAATTTATGTTTGTTAAATTTGGAAGATACCTACCTGTGCGTGCGCAAATTTGCCAAAAAGACAAACTTGAACTGCATTCCTTGTACTTGGGAGCACAGAGTAAACAGGTTACCTTCGCATTCGTTTTGCTTATTGACTTTATAGCAAACATATCGGAAAGATATGGCCACGGGTGGCCCACGTTGACGTTCTCATTTGTTGGTTCTGGCTCTTCGTCTTCGCAATGTTCAACTTCAAGAATTGAAATATCTTCTGTAACAGAATCACCATCTTCGTTCGACATATTTGCGAAATTATAATATTAAATGCACGCTAGTGACTAAGTCACGTGACGATAAGCGCGCGAGACATTGGCAGGCCGGGAATAAACGAGGAATTCCGATTAGTTCCGACGTGTTGGCAAAACGTAAACAGGGCACATATTTGCATTATTTGAACTGAGGATGCGATGTCTGGTCAACGATTCAAGCCAAAAAAGTAACTTGTAACGATGTTTGACAAATTTGTAATCGTTTGAATTCTTAAGCTATTTTTGTAACTAGTTACCGTTACAGTTACATGTTCCCAAAATGTAACGAGTTACCGTTACAGTTACTGGAAAATGTAACGATTACTTGTAACTAGTTACTTTTAACGAAGTTACTTACAGCACTGCTAGTAATAATACTAATAATGATAACCCTACATCTGTGAATCCTCTTAACGAAATTGCTAACTCGAAAGGTTTTCGAATTGCTAGTCTCAATATAAATAGCCTCTTGAAACATATCGATGAGCTTCGAATAATGTTGGAAAAAAATCCTTTAGATGTTTTAGCGATTAATGAATCTAAAATTGATGAATCCGTTTATGATAATGAAATTAAAATACCAGGATACGTTACGTGCAGAAGGGATCGCAACAGACACGGTGGGGGTGTTTTGTTGTATATCAGAAACTGCTTTTCATTTCGAACGCGCAATGAACTAATTCCTAAGCATCTTGAGATGGTGTGCATTGAAGTACATAGACAATATGGTAAATCCTTTTTAGTTTGCGCTTGGTATAGACCACCGAATTCAAATGTGAATTTATTCGACAGCTTTGAAAATTTCATTAAACAATGTGATGTAGAAAATAAAGACTTAATTCTTCTAGGTGATCTAAACTGTGACTGGAATAAATCTCCGGTGGACAATCATACACAAAAATTAAAAAGTATTTGTTCGCTCTACCAACTTAAGCAAATTATTGATGTGCCTACAAGGATCACTAAATCATCTGCAACTCAAATTGATCTAATTCTAGTGAATAATTCTGATAGTGTTTATAGTCACGGAGTACTTGAAATTGGAATATCGGATCATAATTTAATTTATGTAGTTAAAAAAATGGCTCATCATAAGGGTCAACGGATTTCCAAGGAAGTTTGAAATTTTAAGCATTATAATGAAAGATTATTTTTGGAAGACCTATCAAACATTCCGTGGGAATATGCAAATAATTTTAATGATCCAAATGATAGCTGGTTTGTTTGGAAATCCTTATATCTTGAGGTACTTGATAGACACGCGCCAATTTTAAGGAAATATATTAGAACTAAGAGAATCCCATGGATAACTGCCTCCATTAAACCATTCTTGTCCAATACTCTCGACTCTTAACGATCCGTGAACACCGCTAGGTTACGTTCGAATCGTTCGAACGGTAAAAAAGTTAATTTACCCTCTGTATAAGTTATTTGTGGTAGTTTGATCATTATTTAACTTACTGATTACGTCATTACCTGCACAGAGATCTAGTCTATTCGCACCATTCCTACGAATCGTACGAATCGTTCGATTTGTGAACTCTCCCATATCCGTTCGAATGGTTAGATTTCACTTAATGGTGACGTCATCACATCTATAGAGGTCCACTATAATATTCATACAATTCGTACGAATCGTACGAACCGTTCGATTCGTGAAGTCTCTCCTATTCGTTCGAATGGTTAGATTTGTTAATCTATGTGTTTCCCTCGTTCTTTAGAATAACAATGTATACAGCTAATAGAAATGTGTCTAACAATGTACATGGAAAATGCCTAGATCTCTTACATCATCTTTCCGACGTTCTTTAAAATAATTTGCGTGTTTTGTGCAACATGATTGTATTCGGAATGTGTTCGTGTGAGAGACGATAGTTAATCTATGTGTTTCCCTCGTTCTTTAGAATAACAACGTATACAGCTAATAGAAATGTGTCTAACAATGTACATGGAAAACGCCTAGATCTCTTACATCATCTCTCCGACGTTCTTTAAAATAATTTGCGTGCTTTGTGCAACATGATGGTATTCGGAATGTGCTTGTTGTGCGAGACGATAGTTAATCTATTTCAGTGTTTCCCTCGTTCTTTAGAATAACAACGTATACAGCTAATAGAAATGTGTCTAACAATGTACATGAAAAACGCCTAGATCTTTTACATCATCTTTCCGTCGTTCTTTGAAATAATTTGCCGTGCTTTGTCTTTGTGCAACATGATTGCATTCGGAATGTGCTTCGTGTGAGAGGCGATAGTTAACCAATGTGTTTCCCTTGTTCTTTGAAATAACAACGTATAGAAGTGGATCTATTAACAATGTGTATAAAACACGTTTACACGCGTACTTTCTATAAAAGTGTATAAATGTACTGGTTCTTTGAAATAACTTAACCTGGCCATTGTGAGAGTGAGAATTAATACGTTTCCCTCGTTCTTAACTCAACACGATTCATTCAATTACACAACAGAAAGAAGTATATATATGTGTCAGCTTATGCAAATTCTACATTTACCCCTTTCTTCAAAGCTCGAAACACTGAAGTTATTAAGACTATACTCTACAGTTACTAACTTACATTTCAATTTAATATTGTAGCATGTTTGTTTCTAATTGTCATTTAGCTTGCGTGATTTTATGTGCCAGGGTCAGGGAATCCGGACGCCATGCATATACTGTTGACAGCAGTATAAGAACTATCATCAACTACATGTTTGTGTGTTCTTTCAAATTTGATGTGTTTGTTGCGATAAACTCATTAAAGTTGCCTTCAATTTTTGACATAATATAGCTAGAGCTCATTTAAGTTTTGTGAACGCGGACACTGACATTAATTGTTTCTTGATAATTATTTCAATGTTTTTGTCGTTCTGATACATGCATAAACTGAACTTGCATAATTTAGCTATAGTCCTAATTTGTGTGACAATATGGCATATCTCTTATTTGTTTGTTTCCCTCTTGGTAATATACTATTCTAAATTGTATCGGTGGTGTTATGTATCAGCGCCTTATTTTTTGGGCCTTAGCATGCTATATTCTCCTGTGACTGTCTGTGTTTTTTTTTATTATACCGGACATACCGCATTATGCAATTTTATTCTAATTAATATTTGGCACGCAAAAGTAGCCTCGTGTTTCATATACGAACTATAATATAAGAAGGGTTTTTTTATGTTTATATATACGAACTATAATGTAAGGGCTTTTTATGTTTCTGTATATTATCTTACTTCTTATTATGTGTTTAATATGCCGGATTCAATTTAATTTCATTACGCAAATTGCATTTTGTATGAGCATTGTATATATATTGTAGCCTATTGCAAAGAATTCAAGACTTGTCTTAGAAAACCATGAGATATACATGCATGCAGTATATTTAATTATTCTTTAGCCCAAATAAATTGTTGAATTAGTTCATAGCGAAAATCACTTATAATTATATGTCCCGGTAAACTGATTCTTTCAAGAGTTAAGAACAATTGAAATTAACAAACTCAATGAATGCATATAACATTGCGTGTCACAGTTGCAGTCTGCTAGAAGTGACGGCGTGCATGCCAATATGGCCGTAACCTTTCTCAAAAGGCGTATAATCCTATAGCCGTACAAACCTTAATTGCCCAATAACGTACGAGCTATAATTGAAAATGCGCTATATATATATGAGACACAACATCAGTATAAAAATATAACTATAACCGGCCCTTGTCCTTACATTGTTCCTTTGAAATGTAGTTTAAGTGGTCAAATAGAGTTAGAAAATTGCCTTTATAAGGAAATTGGGACTTCACGAGGTATATGAACAACCGAATTTTAGTACTGCTTAATACCTACATTATATATTTGCATTATTTCGTTTTTTTCATACTCCTAGGAAAATAGTCATGTTTAATGTTCTTGTTCTTGTGTCTATACAGTTTAGGAGAAGCAGATTGGGAAAAAGTTAATCTGTTTATCCTCAAAAATAAAGTGTTATTAAAGCAGACAGTCGGACATAGGTTCGGTGTGCCCAAATATACGTAAATAGGGTATCAAATAATGTCACGAAACTGGCTTGCAGTCACGATACATGAATATCTACATTAATCAATCCTACCATCACTCGAATTTCATCCAGATTGGGTTTTTGTCAAAATTGTAGGGAACTGCCATGGATCCTTGTCTTGTGGAATGGCATAAAGTGTGCGAAGGTATTGAAATTTACAAACAATCACTGTATAACTGCACCTATACGAGCATATTTCAAGGGAACGTCTTATTTTATTTCGGTCTTTGAGTGGAGAAGTATTTTTTTACCTTAAACTGTGGCCAATGTGGGTATGAAAGTTATTTTTGCAAAAACCAATTGATGACAAGAATGCATTTAAGTTGCTATGTTTTCTTATCGGCAATGAATGCCCACCATTATATTGTTGCAAATGGATTTATCATCTCAATTTTGGAACGGTCGCTACAATTTATGTGACAAACTGGAAAAAAGAATTACTCAAATGAAACATTTTTTTACTAAATTTTCTTCTAAAAAACATGAATGGTTTTACTACGATTTAATATTACAGATGTAGGTTTTCATGGACGGTTCGGAAAGAAAAAAATGATATGAGGAACGCTTCAATCATATAACTGATGTGTTATATTGCATGTTGTTAAATTTGTGTAGTGGGTGCATGATTAACATGTTTAAAAATTATTTTATTTTGCTGTAACTCAACTGATGATTTTGCAGTCTTGAACAGCGTCACTGTAATTATCTATCGGTGTTAGGGTATGAATGATGGGAACTGAGTTCCTTTGTTATTTACACTTGGAATTGACAGTGTGCATTTAAAATAAACACGAAATAATCTTGAATAGACTAGTACACCTGAAGTAACTATATTAATAATATACATAAAGATATTACTCGACTGTGATTGGTTGATTTCAGTGCAGTTAATCCCAAACAGCAGTGCAATTTTCTGTAATCACAGTGCAATTTTCTGTAATCACAG